TCTGTCGAGTTTGAATGAAGTGTGATTAAGATTAAGACTTACCTTGACCCCCCAGAATTCCAGTGGATTTGACAACCATTTCCAGTCTCTTGTCCCAGGTAAATGTCCTGATATAATCTGCAGTAAAGAGCAGTAGTAGTTACTGATTAGGGCAGGACAGGAAATGCATCATTACATCATCTCCATCAGACGTCCTCTCACCTATAATCCCGACCACCAGCTGATCGGTGGCATCGTCCCGCCCTACCAGCAGGGAGTAGTCGATGATGAGGTGGCTGGAGAGGAAGTAGGCGTCACTGTGTATGGCGGCTCGCAGGATGGCCTTGCAGTGGGAGCGGATGTACAGCGGGTTGTCGTGGATCAACTTCAGGAGGTTCTCGTCCAGCAGAACCACCTCGCAGCTTTCCTTCCCCGAGTCTGTCTTCACGTTGCGGTTTCTCAGGGAGCCTTTGAGGTCAAACACCTACAGAGGAGACGGCACAGCTGAGGACACTGCAGAGAATCTGAAAGTCTTCTGTTCCACAAATACCGCAAAAATCAGTCTTACCTGAGCCATCTTGCGTCCGTAGAAGAGATTTTCCATCACAAGCAGGTCCAGCTTCTTCTCCGTGTTGTTCTGGGAGTTCTTGTAACCGATCCTGTAAACGCCCAGGATCTTTGCCAGCGCAGTCGGCCGCTGTGGTACAAAATTGGTTGTTATTTACTTTAACTCAAACAGTAAACACTAGGTAGAAACTTTCCTTCATGATGCGTACTTTCTGCTGCACAGCTCCGGTGATGTAGGTGAAGTAGTGAGGTGCAAAGTCCAGGAAGGACTGGACCTCCAGTCTGGGCATCTGCTTCAGGATGAACCGGTCATCTGACAGGACACAGAGGAGGAGATGCTACATTATTGATTTTGGCCTTTTCATTGGATTTAGTGACAGTAATAAAATTATAAAATTACATCAGCGTTATTCCTTTAAACCAATAAAACCTAAAACAATGAAAAGCATCTTGTTTTCAGAAACTTTAGATGGATGTGAGATGATGAAAGCCTCCAATCAGATCTTAATAATTTCATAATTTCATAACTAAACCTGTTCACATTTAACTTTGGTACTGGTTGCAGCAGTAGTAGACATTTATCTGCCAGATATTAGATACAACCTTCTGTTGCATAAAAAACAGCTCCAGATTTTCCTCCACGGGCCTGCCAGTTGACACAGTGGGACAGTGAGCGGACAAAATCCTCCTCGGGGCTCTCCATGATCTCCTCGCGCATCTTATGAAACTCCTCGGCATAGTAGATTCGACAGTAAAACTTGGCATTGGCATCGGAGAATTCTACAAATTGCACAACAGACGAGGTTAGCATTAGCATGGATTTGATGCATTTACTGAAGTGCCACAGAGGGATGACACTGAGGAAAGGTCATTTTAATTAAATTCCTCTGAACCTCTGAGGGTACATAAATGTTAGAGGAGGAAATACTCACGTAGCTCAATGTGTGGATTCAGGGTCTGTTTCTTCTGTTTATCTGTTAAGTCTGCATCCTCTGCACAGAACAGTCATAAAAGTGAAGCATTTCACCTCATGGATAACATCGAAACATTTCAATCTTCAATGAATGAATGCTTTGTGTGACGCCAAAACACTTCAAACTAAAGGATCCTATATATTCTACGGTGTCTAAAGTTAGCGTTATTGAAAAACAACCCCTAAAATTTCTGTCCTGCCCTTTGTGAGGACGCTCTTTGTGGACGTTCTTTCCTGATTGATACAAGTGGAAAGATACCAGGAAGTGTATTTCTCATGTTTACTGCAGGAAGGAGGCAGGGAGACTGGGAGACATGTACTGACTGATCTCTCTTATATCATGTAGACTATTTAACACTTAATTCTAACAAAACAAATAGCACTCACAGCACCTTTAAGCTGTTATTTGAGCAGTGGACCGAACACTTACTGAGGGGGTCGGACTCCATGCTGCTGCGGCTCTGCAGGGATGAGGCCGACTCACTGGGCCTGGCAGGGCTGCTCTTAGCCCGACTCTCCCCAGCACTGGAGGAAAAGAAAGACCGGAATTTTTTTTTTATTAAAACCACAGGAACTGTGACTTTTGTATGACAAAGTTTACATGGCCAAAAATGTTATTCCTTCTTGCTTTGTTGTGTTATTCGAGCAAAATCAAACTAAAAGTCTCTTTTTATGTGGACCGTCTTATAAATTCTGTTCTGGTTTAGTTGATTTAAGTGACCTATTTGCACAATTCCTGAAAGATTTATCAACATCTCTGAACTTTAATGTCAGATTTCAATAGGAATCCTGCGTACCTCATGACCTGTGGAGTCTCATCCCCGCCTGCGTTTGATGCCTTGGACAGATCATCCAGCGCTGTTTTATACTCCTTGCAGCTGGAAGGCAATGCAAGACCCAAAATAAGTCATTTATACAGCTACATTCTGAGGCAGTTTCACTCTTTTTTTTAGAGAAGTGCTGAGCTGAGACAGAGGGAGAGGAGGCAGGTGTCACCTGAGAGCGAAGGCTATGATGGAGCTCGGCTCTCTTTCACACACTGCGATGGGCACTCGCTCATGTTCATACATCAGGTAGTGCTTGTCCGGGTCGCTGTCAAAACAGATCACATGACAGACAGAGACAAAGCCTGTAACAACTGCATGTACAGTTCAGACTTATACAGGGTTTCCACAGGTTTCAACAGGTTAAATTTAAGACTTTTTAATATTAATATTATTTAAGACTTTATGAATGAAATTTAAGACCTTTTACCCTACTATTTCATGTCAAAAGGGTCCATTTTGGTTCCGTGCCGGTTTTGTTTTGTTGTTACAGCATGATCAATAGAAATGTTTCCCAAAAACATTTAAAAGAGACTGAAGAATGTAACTTTCAACACTAACTTCATAAATCCAATCCATTTTTTAGGATCTGTCAAAGTCAAACTAGTTCGTTTTCAATCAAACAGACTCTTTCTTGACAAATTCAGTGTTTTCTTCTCCCTGATGCTTGGCTATTGTTCTATTAGCGCTTTGGTTGTTTTACCTGCGTACTTTCCTAAGGCAGTTTATCAGTAAAGGTTCTGTGTGAATATAGCTTGTCTTCAGCTCTTCAAACTTCAGATCAAATAATAATCTAAACTTTAGAAATAACAATTTTCTTTAGTTTTCTTCACAGAAATGAAAAAAATGCTGAGATGCTACCGTCACAATTTGGTCAGCACTCAAAAATCACACCTGACCTTGTTCAGAGTGAGTGTATTACTTACAACGGGAAGGGGATGGAATTGTAGCTGTTGCCGGGCAGGAAATTGGCGAGGATGGCTTTCATGGTGGATTTCTCCTTTACCTGGCTGTCAGTGGAGCCCAGCAAGTGTCCGTCAAATACATCTGACAACAAGCAAACGCAGGAATTATACAGCAGAGATCAGATTAGAGAGATACTGGAAGCTACAGGAATTAGTTTATATATGTGTGTGTGTTCACTGCAAAGCACCATTTCTTGTCTAAAAAGAAAAATAATCTTGTCAAGCATTTTTGCATTAGAAATTTTTGTTTTAAGAAAATATATCTAACTTTGTCTTAATAAAATATTCCAGCTAATATTGAGTTGATTTAACAATAAGTTAAGACAATGGTTTGCATAATATTCCAGCAGAGGAACACAAGTATTTTCCTTATTTTAAGAATAAGACTAGAGAAAGTAGTCTAGTGACCAAAATACTTAAGTCTATCTTAAATAACTCAGTTTTCATTGTTTGTAAGCACAGCTTACAGCGTTTACAGTGTTTCAGTGGCTAGATTTTTATGCTAGGTTTAAGAATTCTAACCAAGCAACACTGGCTTAACCCTTTTTTTTTCTCAATACAAGAAAATTTGATTAGATTTAAGAATATTTGGTGTGTTTCTTGAAGGGCAGTTTTGCGTGTACCTTCCGGGATGCTGACAGAGTCCTGCTCAGTGAAGGAGGGAATAGGTGTGACTGGCTCAGTTCCAGGTTCTCCTGGTGACAGCAGCAAGGAGGAGGAGGCTGACGTCATTGTGCTGAGGTGACGGTCCTCTGTCAGTGGAAACACAGCAACTCATCAGTGACAGCCAGGAAAACTGGCAGCTTCACTCAGTGACAATAAAGCAGGATGGATTCAGACCTGACACAGCCAACTCACCTTTCTCACCATTCTGTACCACAGGTGAGGGGTTTCGAGGGGAGGAATCCAGGGCACTCTATAAAAGAAATAATTAAATCAGCAAATAAAAATACGAGAGAATGATCTAAATGATCTCCTTGAAGAAACAGGTCTGTTACAACAGCTGGCGGGTTTTAGCAAATAAATATAATGTAACATGAATATAAGCTGATGGGTTACATTATAACCCTGGTTAAAAGTATACATGACCAAGAATTTGTCTTTCTCCAGGGGAAAAACTAATATCTATAATACTTGATACAGAATATACGATTACAGAAATAATGTTCCTATTTAATGTTAGTGACCTTGCTGTCGTCTGCAGTGGTCTGTCTGTGCCTGCCTGGGCTGGGAGGGACAGACAGACGCTTCCTGCCTTTCTCTTGCTGGAACAAGTCTTGCAGCCTGGGAGGGAAAGAGGTGACAGAGTCGGATATATTACAAGAAAAGATT